GGAAAACGAATTTTTTACATTCTGTCTGAAATAATGTCTTAATTTTGAAAACTGTCAAAGTTCTTCTTTTAAAAGGAGTAAAAACAAAAAAAATCTCCCCAAACATTCTAAATATTTTAGATTTGATATCTTTATTCAGTCTGAAATAAAGCTTTACTTTATTCGTTTGATTTGGCAGGAAACCCCCAGATCAGTTATTTGCATAGCTCCACATTGAACATCGTAAGATGTCAGACAAAAAAAAAAGAAATAGGGGATGTAAAGGGAAACAGTAAAGGAAATAATCTATCAATTCTTGAGTAAATATTGCTCAGAAAACAGTTCAAATCCCAGGTTTCTCATTCAAAAGGCATTAATAACCTGGAGGAATTTTAAAAAATGTCAACAGTAACGATAATAGGATTACAGGGGAAGGGAGATGAAGGGAATGAAATTTTTGTGTTCTAAGAGAGAAAGAAATACTGGTAACACTGTTTATCACGGGGAGGAGGAACACAGCTGGAAAACTGTCAAGAAAACCACGTAACAGCAACACAGGATTCTGGCTGTGCTGCCAATCCATAGCTGCACAGTTCCTTATTTCAGACAGATGGAATTCAGGCTTTTGCCTTTTACTTGCCTATACTTCCTTTACATCTAGATGACTTCTTTTCTGGATCCTCTATTTTTGCTGTGAATTCTGGGTGCTTGCTGCAGCCTGAGCGTCTTCTGAACAGAAGGAGATACATGTCTTGAGAGGACACAGACCAACCACTGATTGCCTACATCTTTGCTAAGCAACGTTGACAATAGATTTTTAGAAGTGTGTGGATCACAAAATTTGTGACACAGGATTAAAAGATTGTTTTTCTAGGCCACTTTAATTTAAAAGGCACTTGTAGATTTGGGTTCAAAATACGAAACACTTTAATGCCAAAACACTCTTGGTAGGTGCTACATTGCTTATTTGTATTTGAAAGAAATACTTGGCAATTTCAACATGTTTTCCACGTCAATTCAACTGAATTTGCTTAAATTCAACTTTGCATCTAAAATTTATAAAAAATCCAAACTAAAAAAATAGCGCAATGGTCCTAATTTTTACCTGACTTTTAAAGCACCTTTTGCTCCAAATATTTATATTTTTATTACATTCCCGTATTATCTCTCGGAAGTTATCGAGCAAATTTTTTTCATTTCCCTGCAATTTAGTTAGCTTATGTCCAAAAAATACTTCATTCCTGCAGACTAATGAAATTCAGGGTGAAAATGAGATGCAGAATCGCCCTGTGCAATGCTAGGCACCTTTGGCAGCAGTCCTCAGGAACAAGACAAATAGAGAGTGCCTGAGCTCATCAGGGATGAACAGAAGAGGAAAAGGTATCTAATTAGACCCACTTGAAGATCCAAGCGTGACCTTCAAACACAAACTTTCTTCCAAAACTGAATGTCTAAGACCAACTTCCCTTTTGTTAAAAAAAAAAAAATTACAACAAAGAAGGAGAAACAGAAGAGGCAGAGACTGTACTTGACTTCAATAAGAGCTAACAGCAGAGTTGTCAGAGACCTGATAAAGAGCACAGGAGCTGGGGTGGGATTCATCTGAATCAACGTGGATGTCTCTGATGTAGACACCCATCTCCGAGCCAACCTTGCATGAAGGACAGTCTGATATTTTTGCCTTAAACAACCTGTTTTGAAGATTTTATATATGTGTCTTGAACAAACCTGTTTTATACTGCGAGTTTTATGTGTTAGCCCTAAAACCAGCCTGCTTTGCAGTACAGACTGCTCCAGCAAGGGAACAAGCCCTGTGAAGATGGAGCGGTGCTCCCTGTTCGGAGAGAAGAGGTTGAAGTGATGCTCCCTCCTCAGAGATAGGAGGGTGGACCAGTGTTCTGCTTCAGAAACTTTAGTTGGGGTGATCAATAGGGAGGGCTTCAGCTGGAGCAAGCTACCCATGATCTCCTATCCAAACAAACAAACCCTGCAGAAGAGGGGTGTACATTGAAGAGGACAGCTCCCTTGTCTACAGGTGTACATAGGACATGAGGAGGTCTACTCCTTTACATATAGTGGACAGAACCCCTTGGACCCCCCAAAATTTTGCACACTGCACCTGCATCCTAATTAACATTAAAAGCGAGGAGGGAATAAGGTGAACAGGACTCATGAATATTCATGGCAGGACAATAAAAATACCAATAATCGAGACACAGATGTGCACCCACCACTGAAGAACCAAAGACCAGACCAGACCTGCGAGACGCCGCTGCATCCAGGAGCAGTGATATCTCTTTCTCTTTCTCTCCTCCTTTCTCTTATTCTTTCTTTCTCTTTTTTACTCTTTTTTTTTTTTTTTTCTTCTCTCTACATATTACAAATAGCATTAGGAAAAGCCATACTTTGATCTGTGAAATATTATTTTATCCTATCCATGATATACTACTATCATTAAAGTGCGTTATTGCTGCTAATCTACTGACCAAAGAGTTACTAACTCACTACATTTGCCAATCAAAGGGTCTCTGCCATGCAGAGTAAAACCCCTTTTAAAAGGTAGGATACAACAGATTCACCTACCCTGAAACCCACTGATTGGAACGGGACACCTTGGTCCCATTTTTAGGCAACTCATAGTCAGTATACCCAGTGAGTTCAAGGTACTGTGTATCTTATCCTAAAGTAGATGCTTACATCTTCTGTCAGAAAGTCTGTACACCAGATTCACTGCTTTTATTCATTGTATCTCCTTTAAAACAAAACAGGACCTTAGTCCACTTGTGCAGCTGGAGACAACCACAACTATATTAGATATGCCACTGAGGTCAGACAAATTACAGTCCATCTCTGCTTTATCCAGTTTGGCTGAAGACTGTGAATTTATGTCTCCTTCACCTCCAAAATAGGTCCCATAAACCCCAGGAGAAGGGAAATGGCAGATTCACCTGTTAAAGCTGTTCCGTTCCTATGAGCAATGGGACCACTCACTGGACCAGAGAAAGAGAGCCAGTCCATAACCACAGCCCATGGCTCCTGAAGGTCGTCTAAAGACATCTGTAGATTCAAATTTTACCTCTTCTGAATGACAATACTGAGGGATTTATGCCAGACAGAAGAGCTCCAACAGGGTCTACTGGCTGGGTCCGTTAACCCACCTGGCAGGAACTGCTCGAAAACTGCACAGAGATACAGGCATGCTGAAGCTGCTGCGAGCGATGAAGCCCCAACAACCACTTCTACCCCACTGCCATCCACTAGACCTCAGAGTGCTGGTTGCCTTTCAGACCTCACAGCAGTGACTGCTACAACACACCAAACCTTCGCAGGGTGATGACCTTCCATCCACAACTTTGAGGATAGTGCGGGCTTGGACACAGCATGTTCGCTCCCGCAGGGCAAGATATGAATGTTCATCTCCCTCTGAAAGAGAAAAAAATAACATTAGAAACCCTCAACCCGACACAACGATAACTTAACTCTCTTAAACCAGACACAGAAGATACTTTTATGAACTTCTGAGCCTAGTTTTTTAAAACATATGCTTTAGAAAATTTTGATTATTTAGAGAAAATTGCAGTAGATAATCTGAATGCCACTTTCAAGAGGGATTAATATTTAAGCAAGCTGGGAGGGGATTTTGTTAACTAGTAATGCATCAGGAAGCACTTGAATTTTTAAGGGAACCAATTTTTTGTAGCATTGAACAGGTATTTTTAATTCTAAACCCATTTACTCTAAGCAGGAGAAGACTATTTGCTTTATAATAGCATACTAGCACTCAGCTATTCACATACCTTTTTTTTTTTTTCCAAACAACTGACACTAAGGGGCATTTCAGATGGAAGGCAAATGCGGATAATCCTTCTAGAAGTACAGGCTGGAGGACCTTCCATAAATGGCATTCTCAGTCGAGTTCGTCGAGAACAGAACCTTGCTGCTCGCTCTTTTCCCCTACAGAGGCTAAATCAGCTGCGCAATGGCTCAGGTGATCTCCATTTTCAAGAGTCGAGCAGTTTGTAAGTGTGCCAGATCCTGACACGTCTTTTGGATGGATCCTTCCCTTGACGTACAAGCCCATGCTGGCCAGTCTTATATTTATGACTGGAGCTTAGTGCTCTTGGAGGTGTGGTTTCCCCATGGGACAACATCCCACCAAAGAAGAAGAAGATGATCGTATGCCAGCAGGTAAAAGATTCAAAAACCCTCTGGGAGCTGGAGCTGGATGGGGATGGCATGGTCATGGGCAGCAACAGGCAGGAAGCAGCAAGCAGAGAGCATCCAACAGCAACAATGTGCCCGCCAAATGACCTAGAACCCGGGGGGGCCAGGGGACAAAGGTCCTTCCTGCAGCGGGAGGAGAAAACTTTAATGTAGCCGGTCCACCAAAACCCCACAGCATGGAGGCCTTAAACTGCTGGTCCAGGGCTCTGGCCCTGTACCCAGGCCCAGGGACACTCACCCACCCTGGTACCAACACCTCTGGTATGGCCACCTCTACCCCATCCGGCTACTGACAGCCCCACCACCGGCAATCCCACTGCAGGCTGGCACTGGCATCCCCAGGAACAGCATCCCCCACCCCCGAGCTGAGGATTCCCCGCACCAACCTATGAGCACGCTGGCTGATCTCTATCCCAAGTTTCCACCCACTGGGGCGAAGAGTGGAGGTGCTGGATCTGACGTGCCAGCCATCCAACCTGGAGATCCAAGCTGGCCCCAGCCTGCCTCCCAGGGTCCCCAAGGCCCTACCAGCAGCCCCGAGACCCAGTGTGGGGCCAGCTGCATCCAAGCCCCTGGCTAATGGCAAGAAGCTGATGGCACCAGTCGCAGCATCGAGCAGCCGGGCACACACCAGGACGGCTGCCAAACCCAAGCAGCTGAGCTGGCTGCACCTCTCACCTCTGGGGGTGCAAACTCCACAAGAGGGGCTGCTGCAGCTGTTTTGTCTGCCAGTGTGGCTGCTGTGCCCTCCCGGGACTCCATGCTCTCCCTTGGGCCCCGGGGGGAGGGCGGGCCTCATGGTTGTGCCCACACCGCTGGAGAAGCAGGAGGAGTTGGTGCCCATCACACCTGAGCAATGGCCTGAGTGGGAGCACAAGAAGAGGTGGGCCCAGGTGGAGCAGGAGTGTGCAGTGCTACAGATGTCACTGGGACAAGAGCAGTTTTTTGTGCAGAGGGAGACCGACATGGAGATAGCCAATGAGTATGGCTACCCAAAATCCACTGGTCCAGCACCATCCTCCCATAAAAACCTATGCAGAGATTAAATATGAAAGCAGAGGCCTGCACCCACTCACTCCAGCCCCAGCCCTCTCCCAGATCCTTCTTTCTTGCTTAATTCATTAAAAGAGTTGGGTGTTCAGTTTGCGGCGCCTCTCTGCCTGAAGCCATTTGCCCGTGGGTGGCTGAGCTGAGCTGGGGATAGGTACCGAGAGGACAGGCAGACAGGGCATTGCTCCAGGTGGTGAGTGTCTGTGGGAGAAACCGTGTTGATTACCATTAAAGTCTTGAGTCTCACTGTCTCATCCCTTAACGTCCAAGCCTTACTGTCTCGAACCTTAACAGCTCGGTCCTTAATGTCCTGAGCCTTAAAGGCTCGAAATGAGACATTAAGGCTCAAGACTCTAATGTTAGAGACATTAAGGGACGAGACATTAAGGCTCGAGATGAGATACTAAGGCTCAGGACATTAAGGAATGAGCTATTAAAGCTTGAGACAGTAAGGCTCAAACCTCAATGGATAAAACAGTAAGACTCAAAACTTTAAGGGATGAGGTATTAAGGCTCAAGATATAATGGCTCGAGACATTAAACCTTGAGGAATAAGGGTCCAAATGAGACATTAAGGCTCAAGACATTCAGGGATGAGATATTAAAGCTCAAAACAATAAGGGTCAAGATGTGAAGGCTCGAGATGAGATATTAAGGCTCAAGACTTAAGGCTCGAGACAGTAAGCGACAAGACATTAAGGCTCACGGCGAGGTATTTTGAAGTTAGAGACTTTAAGGCTCGAGACATTAAGGCTAAAGATGAGACATTAAGGCTCAAGACTCTAAGGCTGGAGACATTAAGGGACAAAAAATTAAGGCTCGAGACATTAAGGATTATGCTGTTAAGGCTCGAGATATTAAGGGAGGAGAAATTAAGACTTGAGACATTATAGGCTCGAAACTCTAAGGTTAGAGACATTAAGGGACAAGACTTTAAGGTTTGACACATTAACACTCGAGACATTAAGTGTCGAGGCATTAAGGCTCGAGACACTAAGGGTCGAGGCATTAAGGAACTAGTACTTTACACTCGAGACAGTAAGGCTCGAAAAATGAAGGGACGAGACTATAAAGTCGAGACATTAAGGATTGACACATTAAAGGTAAGAGACATTAAGGTTCGACACATTAAGGAACGAGCTATTACGGCTCAAGTCGTTAAGGGATTATACATTAAGCCTCGATACATTAAGGATGGAGACATTAAGCCTCAAGTAATTAAGGAATGAGAAATTAAGCCTTGAGATGTTAGGCTTGAGACGAGACATTATGGCTCTAGACATTAAGGGATGATACATTAAGGTTGGAGATACGAAAGCTTGACATGAGACATTAAGGTTTGAGACATTAAGGCTTGAGAGGAGACTTTAAGGCTCGAGACAAGACTTTAAGGCTCAAGATGAGACATTATGGCTTGAGCCATTAAGGCTCAAGACTTTAAATCTTGAGACATGCTTCTAGACATTAAGGCTTGCAACGTTAAGGCTCTAGGCAAGACATTAAGGCTCGAGAAATTAAGGTTTGACACATTAAAGGACGAGACATTAAGGCTCGAGATGTTAATGAATGGGACATTAAGGGTCGAGATACTAAGGCACGAGATGAGACATTAAGGCTTGAGATGAGACATTAAGGGACAAAACATTAAGGAACAACATATTAAGGCTCGTGATATTAAGGCTTGAGACATTAAGACTCAAGATATTAAGGCTCGAGACGAGACATTCAAGGGTCAAGATATTAAGGCCGGAGTCAACACAGTAATGTACTGGATGAGTGTTGCGAAAAATGGGGAAGTCAATCCAGTCTTGTGCGGCCGGCACCAAATATGTGACAGCCGCAAATTGGGAGACAAATAGTAGTCGTTTATTTACAGCAACATTTACAGGTTCTTTTGGATTGCCAGTGATAAATTAAAAGCTACAGGTGTAACTAAAGGTTTATCACTAATATAACAACAACACAGACATACACACTAACAACAATAACAGCTTGCCCGCTGTAGGCCTGCTCGCTTGGCAAATAGACAAGCCCGTCGAACAGGTATATGGTAGAACGAGACAGTAAAGTCGCGACAAAGAATCACTCAGGCAAGCATAGAAAGGCACCTGAGGAGAAAAAGTGAAATACACTCGGGGAAGAAAAGTATATCTCTCAGCATTAGCTGAGATAAATATTATTACCCACACAGCGTCCCAAGTTGGGGGGATACAGAAGGAGCGAATTTGTTTATCCGTCCAGTCGTTGGTATGGTTCCAAGTTGACCCTGTCCCGATTTTTGGGCAGAAATTTGGGTCATATTTATACTCGAATTTTTACATTACATTACCAGGGTATACGTGCGGGTGGGGATGACTATAGACAATTGCTTATGTTAATGACACAGTCTGTTCGTGGCTCTCATCACACGTCATAAGCCACTACCTTCACCCTGCAGCTTAACTATCAGGTTATTTTTCAAAGGCCAGTCGCATAACGCAAGCATGTTTTACTGGCTTTCCAACTACAAGAAATTAACTGACTAAATGCCTCCTCCTCTTTTGAAACAGCCTAGACATTAACTCAGGGAAGCTTATTACACGTTCATAGCTAAGCTGGGGAATCCTGTCCTTTGGATGTCACTTTGTGTTTGCAGTAAAAACAGAGATGAGGTTGTGTGCTTTTTGCAGAGACATTGGCAGAAGTGAGAAGGCCATGTGCCTGACGCTTTTGGGTTATTTTCAGTTCACTTACATTCCAGGAGCAGGAGCAAGGCTCCTGTTGCCTTTGCAGCAAGAGTGGACGTGAAATGGCTCGGTTTAAAACCTGCTAGGTGCGATTGCAGCAAGAGAGTCTTTTAAACATGCAGGAGACAGCATTTCAGTTGCATGCTTTGAAATGCATTGGCAGAAAGGAGTGTGTTTTGAGTTAGTGTATTTACAGCATTAAGGGAAGGGATCTTCTTTTTTTGTAATGCCGGGGGAGCTGATGGGCTGCACCCACAAGGTCTGAGGGAGCTGGCTGATGTCCCTGTAAGGCCACTGTTGGTTATCTTTGAAAAGTTCTGGTGCCTGAGGATGTTCCTGATGACTGTACAAAGGCAAATGTCACTTCTATCTTTAACAAGGAGGATCTGGGGAGCTGTGGGCCAATCAGCCTCACCTTGGTCCCTAGGAACCTGGTGGAGCAACTCCTCCTGTAAACAATTTCCACACAAATGAAGGCTAAGAATGTCATCAGGAGTAGTCAGCAGAGATTTTTTGCTGAACCACAGAGACAGCTCCATACCAGGAGATGTCAGGCTTGGTGGTGATGGGAGAGCACTGGGTGTTATTTCTCCTTTAGTACAGTGTTCAACACAGCCTCCCATGGTATCCTCACAGACAAACTGATGAAGTGCTGTCTAGGCAAGTGGATGGTGAGGTGGACTGAAGAGTGACTGAAATGCTGTGCTCAGAGAGTTGTGATCAGCAGCATGAAATCCAGCTGCATTTCAGGGAGGATTCCATCTTTGATGTCCCTCCAGGCAGAGCTCAGAACTATGGGACTGTGGTCATTCCCTCAGAACTCCAGCTCACCTGCACTGCTCAGCCTCCCCACTCATGAGTCTCTTCCACAGGTCATGTGGAGCAGCTGCAGCAAGTCTGGCATTCAAGAGTTCTCCCAGGCAGCAGAAGGCACAATTTCAGCCTCATTCCTCTCCTCAGTCAGGGAGAGTCCTGATGGCTTCTCCCATGTGAAGGCCGTGACTGGATGGTCCTGTTCCTTAGGCAAACCTGGCTGGTTTACCCTGCAGAGTGCTTCCCAAAATGTCCTCTTCTGGGAACAAAATTGAAAATTAGTTTTCAATTGATTCTTTCGAAAGGCCAAAATTCAAATCTCTCCCAGCTTGTTTAATTCCTGGAAGGACTCGGGTCACCTCTTCCCCTGACTGCCAGTGGGGTGGCATTACCCCGATCCGAGAGAACATTTCTTCTTTCTTTCAGAAGTTGTTAAAATAGGAGGGAGATGAGAAACAAACCAAATTCACAAACCAACCCAGGACGAAAACTATGAGGGCTGCTATTGTTATGTCATAGGAATGTGGCCTCAGAGGAGAGGGAAGGTGTCAGTGCCCAGAGCAGCCTTCGTAGCACACTCCTTCCATGAGGGTGTGAGGAGAGTGCCCTTTTGTCCCCTTGGTTGGGCCCAGTCTTCAGACTTGTAGTGTAGCACTGCAAAAACAAAGGAGCAAGTCTGTGGTATCCTCCTCAATGTTCTTTTCCCTTTGGCTCATTCTTTCTGTTTCTTGCTAGTCAAAGTGGAGCTGATGACAGATCTAGCAGGTAAGCCGAGGGTTTTACCAGATGCAGGTTACCTGGCTTTTGTATCGATGTGTCCTTTTGCTGTCCCTTAATCACTGAGTTGATTTTTAAACAAAAATACCATTAAGATACCGATAGTCCAGAGGAGGCCACAAGGGGGCTGGAGCACCTCCCCTGTGAGGACAGGCTGAGAGAGTTGGGGTTGTTCAGCCTGGAGAAGAGAAGGCTCCGGAGAGAGCTTCTCGTGCCCTTCCAGTGCTTAAATGGGGCCTACAGGCAAGGTGGGGAGGGACTCTTTGTCAGGGAGGGTAGTGATAGGACGAAGGGTAATGATTTCAAATGGAGAGATTTAGATTTGATATTGGGAAGAAACTCTTTCCTGTGAGGGTGGTAAGACACTGGAAGAGGTTGCCCCCTCCCTGGCAGTGTTCAAGGCCAGGCTGGATGGTGCTGAGAGCAACCTGGTCTGGTCAAAGGTGTCCTTGACCATGGCGGGTGTTGAAACTAGGTGGTCTTTAAGGTCTCTTCCAGGCCAAACCATTCTATGAAAAAAAGCTGCTGTAGCTCTTGGGCAGAATAGAAACATTGACTGTTAAAGAGCAATTTGCATTTTCTTCAGCAAGTTTCTATTTATTTTATTGGTAGGTAAAATAGGGCAAAATATAGACGCAATAGACTGTAGAAAAAGAATTACCTGGTAAATTGTCCTGCTGTCTTGCTTGCTATGTAAAATAGCTGTTGCTACTGGAGGGTGGTTGTGAAAGAGAAATTCTATCTGTTTGTATTTACTTGTTTTGTGGGGTTCCCCACAACAGGCAGTTTTATAACAGCATCTGGTTAATTTTCCCTTGCACATTGCAGATAAAAGCACCTGCGGATACCTAGAAGCCTGTCCTTCGGTGAGTGTGAAAGTAACCTCTTCCTTCAATAGCGTTTCAGAATTGTGAAGCAGGCTGTGAGCATTGCCTTTTGTGACAGAGTGCCAGCCTCGTAGGCTGAACGAAAATACCTTTTAGTGTCTTTGCAGCAGCAGAAAAGGAATCACTGGCTGTTTTCTAATTTTCTGTTCAAGAACTTTTAGACAGATGCAAGTCTTGCTCTGCAGACAGAAGATTGCTTGCTCTTCTTAGGCATGGTGGAATACATCATTCACAACAATATTCAGTACTGTCTAATTAGCCCGTTTTAATTTAGTTTTAACAACTTAGTGTCCACTTCTATTATTTTTATGATTTATCCTTAGTACAGCTGGATGTGGAGCTGAATATAGATAAGGTTATAATTGGTACCTAACTGACTGGAACCACTGAGAGAAAGTTTTAAATAATCATCCACTCTAATGAATACTGGATTGCCATAGCATCTCAGAGATGTAGTCACGACCTCCCCATGAATATTGACTAGGTTTGTTAGTGTTAATGTGAGTGCATTGAATAGCAAATGACTGAATGGGAATTTGGCCTTTGTTTTCAAGTGTCAGGCACCTTAATTTGAGGTTTGGGATTACACAGCAGAGAGTGTGTTTAACAACATGAAAGTCATCTTTGAATATTCACACTTCAGATTTTCAATTGATGCCACTTTCATCATCCTGCTAAAACACACTATTAAAAGGAAGTTTGGGG